GCCTGTTGCATGAAATTGGTGCACTTGGGGGGAGTCCTCAGCCCAGCCTGCACCCTCTCACAGTCCAGGAGCTCACTAAGGATGTCCGACTGCCGGCTTAGGCCCGTTCCCTGTGAGTGGGCCTAAGCCATCAGTCAGGTATCCCCTGAGGGCTCCCAGACTGCGAGAGGGCACAGGCCGAGCTGAGGGACCCCCCTGAGTGCATGAATTTCATGCACCAGGCGTCTAGTGCAGTGATGGCGAACCTTTTGAGCTCGGCGTGTCAGCATTTTGAAAAACCCTAACTTAACTCTGGTGCCATGTCACATACAGGAATTTTTTAATATTTGCAACCATAGGAAAACACTTATATTTTTGATATTTATTTTATATATTTAAATGCCATTTAACAAAGAAAAATCAACCAAAAAAATGAGTTCGCATGTTACCTCTGACACGCGTGTCATAGGTTTGCTGTCACTGGTCTAGTGGAATTATAAGGTGACCTGTGGTCCAACATAACCAAATAGACAAATGTCTCACTGTGCTACCAGCTCCCTGCTTACTGTAACAGAAAGAACTGGCCTTAGGCTGGGAGTCTGGGTTCTTGTCTCAGCTGTGTGACTGGTAGTCAGTCACCCTCCCTGGTCCTCAGTGTCTGTCTTTTGGTGGAGGTATACCCTTCCTGCCTGCCTGTCTGCTTTGTTGAATTGTGGGATGAGACAAGATAAAGTCAGGGACAGTTTTGGTGACCTGTTACACTATGAAACTTCACTCTTATCGTATTAGGGTCTTTGGAACACCTCAAACCGTCGTTATGACTGCACGTAGGAAGGCCATTTTATTTTCAGTTAATCAAAGAAGCAGAATCACAGACATGGATATCACGCTGTCACCAAAATGGCCAGAGTTAAGTTATTTTTGTAATTTTATCCAAAATGTACTAGAAAGGTCTTCAGTTACACTTTTATGAGTTTCACTGTATTTTAAAGATGCAGTTTAGATTCTGGAGAACGATTTTCCTCTTCGATTACAAAGGTGTCTCCTGTGTGAGAAGGACAAGGTGGTTCAGGCTTGCGGTGCTTTCTCAAAGGCGGCTTCCCCGGAAACACATGGTCTGCGCAGACCTGCGTTTTGCGCGTTTCGGCTGCTGCTCCTCAGGTGGCGCTCGGCTCCGTCAGCGCCTAGGACAGTGATGGCGATCCTGTCACACGCGTGTCAGAGGTGACACGCGAACTCATTTTTTTGGTTGATTTTTCTTTGTTCAATGGCATTTAAATTTATAAAATAAATATCAAAAATATAAATCTTTGTTTTACTGTGGTGGCAAATATCAAAAAATGTCTGTATGTGACCCGGCAGCAGAGTTCAGTTAGGGTTTTTCCAAATGCTGGCACGCCGAGCTCAGAGGGTTCGCCCTCACTGGGCTAGGAGGAAGCCCGTTGTGTCCTGGTTCCTCCTCGCCCTGGCCTGCCCCTCGGCGTCGTCTGACGCCCCGGGCACAGTCTTCTCCTCCACACGGGGGGCATCTCTCCTGCTTCTGCCTCAAGTGAGCTGTGGGCATGTCTTTCAGGAATGGCCGGACCCTCCGTCATGAGTCGCTTTCTCTAGGCCGGGCTTGTTTAGGTCGGGTAGGGTTCAGAGAGTGAATTTGCTGATACACACGAAATTCTGTGTATGTGAATGCACGTTTTTGGCAGAAGATCTATAGATTCACAAAGAATCACGAGCTTTGCAAAGAAATCTAAGACTCCAGGACTTGCTGAAACCGGTTTGGCTCAGTGGATAGAGCGTCGGCCTGTGGACTGAAGGGTCCCAGGTTCGATTCCAGTCAAGGGCGTGTACCTGGGTTGCGGGCACATCCCCAGTGGGAGATGTGCAGGAGGCAGCTGGTCGATGTTTCTCTCTTATCGATGTTTCTGACTATCTCTCTCCCTTCCTCTCTGCAAAAAATCAATAAAATATGTTTTAAAAAAAAAGACCCCAGGACGTCCAGCACGTCTGCCGAGGAGGCAGGCCCCGGCTGTGGGGCCTGAGCGCCTTCAGGCCGTCGGAGGGGAGGCTTGTTCTCCACGTCTGGCACTTGGTGCTGCCGCCACCGTGTCTGCCTGGTGGCACTGAGGTATCTCAGCCGTCGATGTTTTTGTGCCGTTGGCGGTTCGGAGGAAGGTGGGAACATGGATCCGTGTGTTTCCTGTCGTCTCCAGACCTTTTCCGGTAGAGACTTGTGGTTTGTCCCATTCCCAGTGGTCAGGACAGCTGCCAGCCTCGCTCATTTCCGCCTTGAAGAGGATGGATCAAGGCACCGAGAGCCTGTAGGACTCCGTGGGCTGGAGGAGGTGGGGTCAGGCCTGTTCCAGCTGCGGTGGGAGGAAGGGGCCGGGCAGGGCCCACACCGTGAACAGTGCTTGTTGCCTGATGCTGGCACTGCCCGCTCCATGCGAGGTTCAGAGCAGGACCCTGCCGCCCTGGGCTCTGTGGCTGTCGCCGTTCTGCCGGGTGGCCACGTCTGCTCTGCCGTGCTGGAGCCACTGTCTGCTGTTCTCTTGCAGAAAAACCTGCTCAACCAATCTGTCGCTGTTGACGATTCCGGCTTTATTGACACACTCACATCTTCACTGCCTAACTGCTGTGCCCACTCACAGTCCTACCGTGCACACAGTGCAGTGGGAGTGGGCGGCGGTGAGCGGGTGGTAGTTGCTGTCTGAAGCCCAGGGTGGTAACGGTGTGCACTCCCTCCCGCAGGCACGTGCGCTGACCCCGCAGACGGCAGAGACGGACGCCATCCGGTTTCTGGTCGGGACGCAGTCTCTGAAATATGACAATCAGGTAACTGTTTCTGGCAGATGCGTCCATTAAACCTATTCTGACTTGGTGACCATTTTGCTCTTGATTTTTCAAGCAACATTTGAGGAAATTAATGCCACACGAACAAAAGAAAACTTTCATTGGGTTGTTAACATCCAGCTGTAGGTACTGGTTGAGTTTAGTAGCTCAAATGCCTCCCGTGGGCACCGCGGTGGTCGTTCTTGTGGCTGCGGAGGACGTACTGTGTGAGTGGGAAGCAGCCTGGGGTCTGTGGTCAGCATCAGCCATCAGCCCAGCCCGTCTCCTGGCCCGTGACGACCAGGAGAGGCAGGGCCTCGCCCAGCCATCACTGTCACACGGGAAATGGGCTTAGGCGTCAGAGCTCTGTGCAGCCGCAGGGTTGGGGTCAGTCAGAAGCACGTAACTGTGGGGAAGCCTCTCCCCTGCCTCTCGTTGCTCACAGCACGCTCTCCTCTGCGCCTGGAGGAGGCCTCAAGCCAGCTGACCCCATGGGCATGCAGGAGGGCCCGTTTGCTGGACTGTCCACTTTAGAAGAAGCATGCTGGGCACTCATGAGGTCAGGGTTCAGTGCCCAGCTTGACACTGACCGTGACCTTGAGCAGTGGACTTCACTTCCTCACTGTAAGCAGAGGTGAGGCTGCGGACGTGAGGGTGAGCGCTGTCCTTGACGGGGACACGCGACGCACATGGCTGTGTCTGAGAGGCAGGGCCTCGCCCAGCCATCACGGTCACACGGGAAATGGGCTCAGGCGTCAGAGCTCTGTGCAGCCGCAGTGTTGGGGTCAGAAGGATGTAACTGTGGGGAACCCTCTCCCCTGCCCTCCAGTAGGCGGTGCCCCTTTCTCGGTCCCTCAGGCGTCCTCACTGAGCCGCTAACTCAGCCTGTGCTCCGGCTCCTGGTCCGTTTCCAGCGAGGGTGGCGGGAAGGATGGTCTCACAACTTTGCACACGGGTTCCAAGGACAGGTATCGAGAGTGTCTGACCTGCGTGTCCCCGTGCTGCCCCGGGAGAGGCGCTGTGCGTGGCTGGGACGGGCTCCATCGGTTCGCTCAGCAAGCGCTGGGTGGTTCCCCTCGCGGTGGGTGTGCCGGGTCCACAGAACGTGAGCAGATGCGTCCTGCTCAGGGCTGCGCTCTCAGGGAGATGGTGGCGGGAATGCGGACACTGTGTGGCCGTGGTGACAGCACGTGCAAGGGGGCGCGGGACCCAGGGGAAGCGCCCTCGCTTCGGTCTGTTGGCGTTGGCGCCAGCATCAGGGGAAGGTGGCTCTTTGGCCGAGGCCTCGGGCCAGGATGGAATGCGTTCACCGGCCATGGCCTTGTTTCAACAGCCTTAGAATTCATCACCACACATATTCATGGCCACAGTTTAGACAATATCAATTAGCACTGAGAAGCACGGGGTAGGGTGGCCACACACGATTGCTCTGCTCCCCTGTGCTGCCGGAAACAGCCTCACGCCTCACACAACACAGGCCTCCCTCTCAATGAGACGTGTGTTTCCCCATGTGACACATGGGCTCCTACCACACACGACACCCGGTTCTCACATGTGACACATGGGCTCCTACCCCCCGACACCCGGTTCTCACATGTGACACATGGTCTCCTACCACACATGACACCCAGTTCTCACATGTGACACATGGGCTCCTACCCCCCGACACCCGGTTCTCACATGTGACACATGGTCTCCTACCACACATGACACCCAGTTCTCACATGTGACACATGGGCTCCTACCCCCCGACACCCGGTTCTCACATGTGACACATGGTCTCCTACCACACATGACACCCAGTTCTCACATGTGACACATGGGCTCCTACCCCCCGACACCCGGTTCTCACATGTGACACATGGTCTCCTACCACACATGACACCCAGTTCTCACATGTGACACATGGGCTCCTACCCCCCGACACCCGGTTCTCACATGTGACACATGGTCTCCTACCACACATGACACCCAGTTCTCACATGTGACACATGGGCTCCTACCCCCCGACACCCGGTTCTCACATGTGACACATGGTCTCCTACCACACATGACACCCAGTTCTCACATGTGACACATGGGCTCCTACCCCCCGACACCCGGTTCTCACATGTGACACATGGTCTCCTACCACACATGACACCCAGTTCTCACATGTGACACATGGGCTCCTACCCCCCGACACCCGGTTCTCACATGTGACACATGGTCTCCTACCACACATGACACCCAGTTCTCACATGTGACACATGGGCTCCTACCCCCCGACACCCGGTTCTCACATGTGACACATGGTCTCCTACCACACATGACACCCAGTTCTCACATGTGACACATGGGCTCCTACCCCCCGACACCCGGTTCTCACATGTGACACATGGTCTCCTACCACACATGACACCCAGTTCTCACATGTGACACATGGGCTCCTACCCCCCGACACCCGGTTCTCACATGTGACACATGGTCTCCTACCACACATGACACCCAGTTCTCACATGTGACACATGGGCTCCTACCCCCCGACACCCGGTTCTCACATGTGACACATGGTCTCCTACCACACATGACACCCAGTTCTCACATGTGACACATGGGCTCCTACCCCCCGACACCCGGTTCTCACATGTGACACATGGTCTCCTACCACACATGACACCCAGTTCTCACATGTGACACATGGGCTCCTACCCCCCGACACCCGGTTCTCACATGTGACACATGGTCTCCTACCACACATGACACCCAGTTCTCACATGTGACACATGGGCTCCTACCCCCCGACACCCGGTTCTCACATGTGACACATGGTCTCCTACCACACATGACACCCAGTTCTCACATGTGACACATGGGCTCCTACCCCCCGACACCCGGTTCTCACATGTGACACATGGTCTCCTACCACACATGACACCCAGTTCTCACATGTGACACATGGGCTCCTACCCCCCGACACCCGGTTCTCACATGTGACACATGGTCTCCTACCACACATGACACCCAGTTCTCACATGTGACACATGGGCTCCTACCCCCCGACACCCGGTTCTCACATGTGACACATGGTCTCCTACCACACATGACACCCAGTTCTCACATGTGACACATGGGCTCCTACCCCCCGACACCCGGTTCTCACATGTGACACATGGTCTCCTACCACACATGACACCCAGTTCTCACATGTGACACATGGGCTCCTACCCCCCGACACCCGGTTCTCACATGTGACACATGGTCTCCTACCACACATGACACCCAGTTCTCACATGTGACACATGGGCTCCTACCCCCCGACACCCGGTTCTCACATGTGACACATGGTCTCCTACCACACATGACACCCAGTTCTCACATGTGACACATGGGCTCCTACCACCCGACACCAGGTTCTCACATGTGACACATCGGTGCTCACAGCACAGTGCTCCTTCCCACGTGGGACTGGTTCCCCCACACGCAGCGTGCGTGTTTCTCTTGCGGACGGCCTGTGTTACTCTCGTGTGACGCTTCCTCTCACATGTGAGTGTGTTTCCCGCCCCCAGAGATGCTGTTTGCAGGGGCTCCCGCGGCGCCCCTGTGTCCTGTGCTGGCGG